TTTTATAATTGGATTAAAACTGCTGAACTTGTTATTAATAATAAAAAAAAATTTCAAATATTTGTAATTTAAATTATTACAAAAGTACCGCTATTTTAAGCCTACATGTAAATATTTTAAGACTTTGAAGGCTATTTTAGGGGACTCGGGTGTCGAGCAGACCTTATGGTTATTTTGGTAGTAAACTAAATCATGAACAATATATGTAGGTCCTTTTAATATCATTATAAATGTGTTATCGCACTTGAAAATAGGAAAAACTACGAGTCAGTGGCATTTTGCCTTCAGCATATTGCAACAACTTTTCAATGATAATTGAAATGATAATTATGAAAGCGAATTTTTGAGATATTCCATTATTCCAAACTTTGGTTAATTTTTATAATCAAATAATTTTTCGCAAGCCATAAACTTTATCATCACACAAAGTTTCGTCAAAACTGCCAACGATCGGCTAGACCAATCATAGCCGAAATCTATTTAAGACAATTTCTAATAAATATCTTTGAAATGCCTTTTAAATTTTCATAAGACATGAGCATTTGTCTGCTAGTTATTTATTATTGGCTCCACCGATCGAGTCGAAACATCAAATGGTTTTTGAGCAAACCTTCTATTTCAGGTCTCATACACATAAATACACATATTTTTATCAATTATGGTATCAGACGACTCAAAAAGCTCAAAATGTCGAGAAAACTTTAAATTATCGAATTTATAGCAAAAGCATAAATTTGTGTTATGATTTGAATAATACAAAAAACATTCTAATAAGGAGACATGCTGATTAGTTTTTGGCAAAGGCAGGTCTAGCCGTTTCAGAGATACGGGCAAAAAGTGCCAAAAATGGTGTTTCAGTATTTGAGACAACGAAGCGTCCGATTTAAATAATTTATAAAAACGTTTTATTTGTATTGACGAAATGGACAACTGGTGAAATATTTGTAAATGCATGTCCAGCGTCTCCGGAGATTCATTTGGCGGTCTAAAACGAACATTATACATATGTACCTCGTATTATTAGATATTTTATAAAGATTATAATAATAAGTACTTGTGTACATTTATATGGGTTTCGTACGTATGGCTTATATGCACTTTTATTGAAAAAATTGTTCAAAATTTTCAAAATAAATCAAAATACAAAAAATTAAAATATAAAAAAATTAAAATTTTTAAAAAAAACATTTTTTTTAAATTTCAAAATTTCTCAAAAATATTTTTTTCAAAGTTTAGCAAAGTTTTTTTTCAATTATTTAGTTTTCGGGTTGTTCCAGCATTTTGCCTTAATGCCATACACCACTAGATTTTATTTAATAATTGGGTAGATGCCTATTAAAATATATAAATTTCTCACTCTAAATATATTATGTTCCATCAGGTTCAAGCTGACCCGGCATCGTTGTGCTCTCTGGAAAATATACTTTCGGCTTTGTCCTTGTCTTCGTCTCCTCCAGCAAAGGTTCCAGGCATTGAGTGTGTTTCATGCAAGAGTATGGACAAGGGCTCATCTCCTCAGTACAATACGACTTTCAAGATAATGAGTTTTTATCAAAATGAAGCGATTAAGAAACTTAACTTGATCATAGGTTTCAACACGAATGCTCCTTTCTGCGATAAGTGTATGTTAAAAGATAGCATTGCTTTAGAATTTTATTATCAAAATGCTAAACTTGTTGCTTTAAAACTGTATGAGGAGATTATTATCAATCTCAATACTATATTTCCTGGGAAGACTGATTATGATATAGCTGTAGCTAATTTGAAATCAGTATTGGAAAGAATTCAAGAAATAATGGATTTTGCAAAAAGTTTCTCCTCGCAATCCTTTAGAATTTATAGACTAGTTCTGGAGAGACGAAGAAATTGTGGAGCCCATTATGCTCGTACTGCTATGAATGATTTCATCAGATTAGAGAGTACCAGTAGAAAGATTTATCTGACTTATGAATTTGTTTCGCGATTGATGGATAACGAATATTGTGATAATGGTGACTTACAATTGATGGTCAATAAGCACGCCTTAAATCTGGCCAACAGCATTATGGATATTAATGAGAAATATTTAGAAGATTTTGACAAACACGCTGATACTTTCGCAACAAGTATCCAATTAGGTTGCGGAATGTTGCATTCAGAAGGCTTTAAAAAGAAAAACCCAGAAGCGATCGAATTTCCAAACATTTATAATCCTGAATCTCTAATAATAAACTCGCCACCATTTATTAGAATGAACGGAGCTGGAGTGCCTTCACCACAGAAGCTTTTACAATCGCCGATCAACAACTGGAATAGACAATTCACTTTTAGACCTAATGATAGAAATGGATCGGTACATTATGACAAGCATAACGTATCACAGAATAGCGACGATAGTTTTTTAGAATTGCTGAAGCATATAGACATCAATTCAATTTGAGAATATGGTAACATCCCTTTCTTAAGCATAGTACAGATATGTTTGTACCATATACTTTAATGTTTAAACAATGTAAAAGTCTCATTGAATTTTGTAAGTGTTGTTATACTGTATAACCTATATTTCAACTTGCTACTATATTATAGCGAGTATAATAAAAATAAACAAAAGTATTTGGATTATTTTATATATTTTTACCTCTGTCTACTTCCATACTAGAGTAGTATCAAGTTCAACACAAAAACTATTATATATTTTTTCTTATTCACATACTATGTTATTCAACACGTAACCATTTTCCTTGTTCACAATTATTTATATGTCAATATATATTGATACAAATAATATAATACTTTAAATAATCAATTTTATTTTGAACTCAAGTGAATAAACTAAACTCGCTATTAATCCAAAGCAAATTTGTTCATTTTTATGCGTGCATCTGAAGCTGTAATGCAAACATCCTAGTATATATTCAAAGTCATAGCCAACAGTTTGCCAAAGGTTGTTTAACAGTAATTTTTCCAGGGTTATCTTTGTCTGTATATTCAGAAAGACAAATATCGTTCAAACGAATATCGACATTTACATTTGGCTAACAAGTACTTTTAATATTAACAATTGTATTTTTTTAATGTACAATCTTCGATACTGAGCAACAATTTTTGTGATATTTAAATTGTTTAATTGCTTATTTTGATTGATGTAAGAAATCACACCTGGGATTAGTTTAAACAAAACCATGGAGCTAGTTGTAACACATAAATTATATACAGATTTAAGTAGAAAATATCAAATAGAATGTATGTATATTCTACAAGATGTGGACATATGTAAATTGTGTTACAGGAGACACTATACCTTTTATTTTTATTAATTCTTGGAATTAATTCTAGTTTTACAGAAATGCTTAGAAACAAATTAATTTTCTTAAACATGACTAAAGAATAAATTTTAACAGACATTATTGTCGCTTATTTCTAGTTCCTACTTGCACCGGAATATGTTACAGCTAGGATAAGTTTTAATATCGCATTTTTTCTAGAAATTGATTGTGAAATAATGAACAATAGTAGTGAAATTAATTAAACTTGATCCAGTAGAGTCATAGCAGCAGCAAATATTCATCGTTATTTTGTAGACATATAATAATCACTAGATCTGAAGATATATTAATTAAAAAAAAACTGTAACTAGTGGGGCGCATGGCATCGTGCCTTAAGGCAAATTGCTGGAACTTCCCATAACAAAAATTATTTTTTCAAAAAAGATTAACATTTTGGAAAAAAAATTACTCTGAAAAAATTAGATTTTTGAGAAACTATATATTTTTAACAAAAACTTACATTTTTTTGAAAAAAAAAAAGACTTTTTAAAGAAAAATTTACTTTGAAATATTTTAAAAATTCTGAACTTTTTTTCAAAGCAATCGTATTGCTTTAACTGAATAGAGTTGAAATATGGAAGCGCGTAAACGACGCGTCGCCGTCTAACGGATAAACACTGGCACGGAATCCATAGAAATGTAAACAAAATTTATACTTATTGTTAAAATCTGTCTAAAATATCTGAAATTTGATGTGCATATGTCTAATGATCATTTTTGACCGCAAAATGGCATATTTTTTTACTTTTTTCACTAGATCTCCGAAACCGCTAGACCTACCTTCATGAACATTTGATCAGTTCTTCATCTTAATAATACAAGTAAAATGTTTTTTGAATTATTCGAATCGGAATTATTGTCCGTTCTCTTAAAAACTGAGTCACCGTTTTTGGCACTTTTTGCCCTATATCTTCGAAACGGCTAGACCTGCCTTTGCCAAAAACTAATCAGCATATTTCCTTATAAATATAAATCGAATGTTTTTTGAATTATTAAAATCGCTTTATCCGTGTTCCCGAAATCGTCGACGAAAATTTGTATCCGAACACACATACACACACGCATACATCCATTTTTTCTAAGATATGCCAAAATGTTCACAAGGTTTTAAAACGTAAAGATATATAAAAATTTTCATTTTCGATTTTTTTGCGATTACTATAACTTGCCCTACGGGAAGATAACAACACGCCCCTAGCTGCCCTACTTATTGTTAGAGGTATTAAAGTGGTATAGTTTTTAGCCGATTATATGGGTGTTAATAGTATAATATATTTATAAATTTATTTCCATAATAAAACAGCAATTTAGAACCTATATTACGTAATATGACCTGCAAAGTTTTGTGTGAAACTATCGTATTTTAACAGTAATAAATCACTTAAAAACTTATAAAATTTTTGTTTGATGGAGTCATTAGTGACTACTTCTTAAACCTGTAGTTTAGCATGTGAATTTTGTGGAGTATATATTGAGTAAGCTATATGTTTAATTTTTAATATTTATTGCGATAAACATAACTATTTATCTTAATACACAATCAGATATTTTGATATTTTACAAGTCAAGATTGGTAAAGTACAGAATTGAGTTACAGAGTATGTTTTATTCAGTTATGCCAAATATTTAATCCTCAGAGCATCTAAATTTAGAATGATGTATATGATCTTCGTTGCATTCAATGATCGTCTATGATTATTTTGCCGGTGGTGGAGGGTGAGTTCTGATGTATTCGATGGCACGAAGTACATATTCGGGCACTTGAGGTACATGGCTACCGGTCGGTTGGTAACCGTTCTCATCGGCTACGTATGAAATTTGAACAGGTGTTCCTTCAGGATCTGTCCATTGTGCGTTACCTTGGACGGCTATGGCATCATTTTGAAGCGCACCTCGTTCATTCGCAGAAATGCCGTTGGATGTTTCGTAGCTGTACGAGTAACCTTCAGGCTGCACATCTTGTTCGCGTTTTAGTGTCGTTGCTTGCTTGTCCCGCTCGTCGGCGTACGAACAAGCCAAGGCCAACATCAAAATGACAAACGCCAACTGTAATTGCACGAGTGCAGTAACTATTTTTAATGTCCATAATTAAATAAATGTTCACACTTAAATAGACAAATGCACATACGCATTCATGTAATTATGAATAAATAATTCAAATAATATGTTTGAAAATAACAAAATTTACATAAATTTACTTTTTCTAGCTAAACAAGCAGCAAGTGAATTATGTAATTGTTCGGAATGTCGATTCTACCTTAATTGCAGATAGATATGTAACTGTAAAATTAAAATTTTGCGAATCATTAGCATATTCACACAATGGGCTCGCCCGTAGGTAAGCGGTTAAGAGCGACGGGACCTGAATCAGAGGTCCCGGGTTCGATACCCACTTCGAGCAGCCTGTTGTCAGGCAGCAGTGACAACGATTTTCACTTGGAAATATAGATAGCAATATGTTTCCAAGTGAAAATAGCCCTTGCCCGGCATTGCTGCACCAATAAAAAGTCAGCCCTATTAGATTAATTCTAATAACAAAAACCATCAAATATGGATGGATTAACCATTGAGTTACCAGCTAAAAATACGAAGGAAGGAGAAGTTTCAGCCCAACAGCTCATAGGACGTAAGGTTCTGATTGCTGTTAAAAATAAAAAAAAAATATAAAAAAAATATATTCACACAATTGCACATGACAATTTATTATCATTTGCATTAAACTATTAGTTACTTTACACTTTTTTATATTTAAGTTTACATTTAAATAGATTTTAATAAACATTAAAACATTATTTATACTTATGGGCTGTAATAAATGCTATACTTCACGCATTATACGAGTTTCGACGTTGTTCTTCGCGTTATCTCAAAAACAAGTAAAGTCAGAATGTTTTAACAAAATTTGAAAATATTGGGCAAAATATGTATAACCATCTATCACCTTGATTTTCTCTTGACATTGCTATTGAGAGATAAAGGACAATGTTTGAAAATCCATATCAAAAGTATTTTTTTCGTTGTTAGTTTTTTTTTTGATTATAAGCAATGTTGTTTAGTTTACTAGACCCTAATATAGTTTTTAAGTATACGTTATTTAATTGTTTCATAAGATGTATTTTTAGTTTATATTCGACAGATATTTTTATATGATTTCTATAATAGCTTAAGAGTAGGTGAGGTAAAAAGAACTAACTGAACTCTTATTCTGGCAAAGGTGTAAATGATTAAAAAAGTAAATAAAAATGAAAATTATTTTAAAAAACAATTGTACAAGAGATAAATTTGATAAATAGTTTCTGATTATGATAGATATATAGATTCCAACGTTTAGATTATGATTTCTGACGAAATATCAAATCATAATTATATACAGTGTTTAACTGTTGAAAAAAATGTACCCTTAAAATTTATATTTTGGATTGATTGAATAATGCAGCTGATATTTTGCGATATCAATTCAAAATTAAAAATAAGACATAGTACCTAACATCATGCTGTCTGCACAGCACATAGCATTATAGCATTTTCAGTTATTAGTAACATATTATATGAAAATCGCTACGTAACGCCATAACATTGGTATTTTACGGCAGAATCGTTTCATCAATCTGTGCGATTTGTGAGCAATCTTTTATACACACACACGCACACACACACACACATATATATATATATATATATATATATATATAATCATCTTATATCTCTAAAATTAATTCTAATGTCCCGTGTATATTGACCCAAAGAATGGATCAAATTGTGAAAAATCCTGTCTTGGCTCATTTAGAGCACCCCAATAGTGTCCAAATGTATGACCCCTACTAACTTTGCCCATGGTCAAAAGGGAGGCCGATCAACCTATGCTCATGGTTCACCCCCCCCGGGACCTCCCCTTAGAGGTCCCCAAACAAATTTTGCATAATTTTTGGTACTTTAATATGACAAAAACCAGCGGTTTATTTATATTATAGAATTTATTCAATCATAACATATGTAAATATAACTATGTAAAATTTCTAATTTATTGCTTGAAGTTTTTTTTTCCAAGTCTTGAAAATTTCGCACGTTTCTCTAATGTCACCACCATAACAGCCTCTAGCTTTAATACATTATTTTGTGAAATAGTTTTTTGTGTGTGTATGAATTAATATCCGTAAAAGTGGTTTTAAAAAATACTTTTTTGCTTAGTAAAATACTAAAAGCGATGATTGTTTGCAATTTTTGTATGGGAGACCTCTGTTTGTATGGGGGGTTGAACGATGGGCATGGGTGGGTTGCCCTTTCAACGTTAGTGGGGGTTGGTCATACATTTGGACGCGATTGGTGCTCTCTAAATAGGTCAAAACGGAATTGTTCAATATTCAACACTTATCTTTGGGTCAATGCACGAAACATCAAAATTTATTTCAGAAATATGGTTTCTTCAGCAAAGTATCTTATTTTGATCTCTAGTATCCAAAAATCATATGTGCTTAAGTGATTTTTTCAATCGACCCGCCCTATATATATATATATATATATATATATATATATATATATATATATATATATATATATATTAGGGTGGTCCTTAAAATGGTCATTTTCGAATTTCTTTGCTCTCAGGGGCTCAAATGGTTCCAAATAGATAAAAAACAATTCTCTGAAAGTTTTAGCTCTTAATATTAATGTTTAGATAGAGCGCAATTCAATCAAAGTTTTGTATGGAAATAGCATGGAAAATTTTTCAAAAATTTTAAAAATGTTTTTTAGATGTAATTTGGCGAGCAAATGAATGAATAAAACTCATTCATTTGTCGCTAAGTTATACCTAAAACATTTTTTTTTAATTTTCAAATTTTTTTCCATGCTCTTCCCATATAGACTTTGATTGAATTGCGCTCTATCTAAACATTAATATTAAGAGCTAAAACTTTCAGAGAATTGTTTTTTATCAATTTGGAACCATTTGAGCCCCTGGGAGCAAGGAAATTCGAAAATGACCATTTTAAGGACCACCCTAATATATATATATATATATATATATATATATATTCAAATATATGATAAACTTTATCCCTTTCATCAATTCCTTGTCACTTCACTTCTAACAAAAATATGCACACAATTACGTTCGTTTATTAACTATTTATTTTTTTGTTTACGTTTGTTTTTGCAAAAGATAAAATGTTTGATATTAATTTAAAATTTATACATAACGAAACAAAAAATTTCAGTAACAGTAGTTTATTTGAGAGAACTTATGACACTACGAAAAAGCTAAATTTAGATCCACTTGAATTATTAATTATTTCGAACACAATCACTTCAGTATTCCAAATCTAATATACAGAAGGCCAATAGGATAAAATATATTTACTTACAGTTTTCATGTTGTATCCGTTAAGAACGTTGAATTGGGTACTGACATCCTGATGCTAACCCGTTGTTTATATATCTTTCTGACAACATTTAATTCGACCATAAATATGAAATCGCGACAGCTAGATTTTAATTAAAATCTAGTTAGAATTTTAAATGTTAATCATTACAACTGTTTACATAATGTCAATGCTTATAATGTCAATGTTACCTATAATTTATTAACTTGTAAAAGAATGTATGATTATTGTTATAGCATCTAATTACATATTTAATTATTCAAATTCTTTACTTAACGGCACAAGTTATGGTACTGTCAACCATTAACTAGAAATAAAGTTTAGTCGATAGTTTTGAAATTATAAATTATATAAGAAACTTTGTCAAAAATTAATTAATTAGATTTTAATCTGGAGAACATGGTACATGTGCAACATATATACAATTTCAACATTAACAAATTTTTAATGCTATAAGTAATGATATCAGTAATGAATTACTTAATACTGTATTTCAGTTACATACAATTTTTGGGATACACATAAAAATAATTTTATATTGCCAATAACACTTATTTTTTACATAAATATATAATACAATGTTTGTAAAAATATTGCCCATCGCAATATTTTAGATGTCTTAAATGTAAAATACCTTTGTCATGGTCTAAAATATACTAGCAAAATATATGTCGTTTATAGATTTACTTTTTTTTTTTGAATTAACATTTTTAGTAATAAAATTATCAAGTATCTTACCATTTTACAATTCTGATTAAATGCGTCAACTTTTGATGAAATTAGCACACTTAAGAACATTTTTTTAAAGTAAGGTCTCTCAATGTCGATCGATTTAGAGAAATTTAGAGTTCTACGAAAAGTCTTAATTCTTGAAAACTTCGGGCAATTGTTTTATTGTTTTTGATTGTGATCTTAGAAATATAATGTACAATTATGATTCTAAAGTTTAAACGAACAAAATTAGTAAAAAGTAACCTTAATAGCCAAAATTTAGTCATAATTTTACCAAAGCTCTAGGCTGCACTTAAAAGCGCGCAATTTGTAAACACCATGAGATTTTTTTTTCAGAACAATTAAGGTCAATTTTATGCTCCCTGTTTCGTTTAGACGTCAAGGTCTGGGACACCCTATATATGTGTATATATATATATATAATTTAGAAATCGATGTGTATTAAATCTGTAATTCATTACATATAGATAGGGAAACCATTGGAGTTGCCATCTGTAAAGCCATATCTGCTGGGTATTACAATTTTTTTGGGAAAAAAACAAGTTTCACTGATTCCAACAATATTTAAAAAGTAGGGTAGAGCGAGGCTAGTTGAGCATAGGGGCAAATTGAGCAATCGAAATATCTCGAAAACTATTTACCGTCCGTTTAGGCATTATATGGCGGAAAGATAGAGGTTTGGGAGAAATAAACATCCCGCGATCGCTAGTGGCCGCTGAACAAATGAGTGAGGCTCACGGGCGTTTTGTTCATTTTGAGACCAAAAAGTAAAAACGTAATTCATCACAAGTTTTCGTCTGGTTTAGTCAAATGTTATTTATTTTTAATCATGTAAATATTATTCTTTCATATAAAAATAGTACTTTTAAGATGCACAGAGATTCTGGGTATAAACCTCACGTTTTTTTTTATAAACTCACTTTTATTTTGAAATTCCGAGTTGGGGTCAGTTGAGCATAGTTGCTAAACTTGTACTGTCACTAAGGCAATTACCATTAACTTATAGAAATTATTATTTTTAAGATTTAAGCTAAGTCTTTGAGTAATAATATAAAGAAATAATGATTTTTAAACAAAAATACTGAATATAATGGTAAAATAATTCCTAAGCTACGATATTGTTTTGTTGATTCTAATTTTCGTTAATTATTCAAAGAAAATTACTATAAGTTTTGTTTTTTCTGTCAATAAAGACTATAAATATAGAACTGGTTATCAAAAACTTATTTTATTTCATCACTAATCGACATTGAACCTATGATTTCATTATACATTCTTAGTGCTCAACTTGCCTCACCTATGGGGTACATTGAGCATACTTGACTTTTTGCTTTTAAACAGCTGTAGCTTCTAAATTTTACTTATTACCAAAAAATAGTATTAACACTTTTGTTAAGCGATAAACAACAAATCCATTAAGCCGTATAGCAATTTATTGAGACTTTTCATTGAGGAGCTACATCCGTTTAAGTAAAAATTTGCTCAACTAGCCCCGCCCTACCCTACTTTCATTGTGATTTTAATAAATTTTTATTTTCATTGTGCTTTGTTTTTATTTTTTAGCAATCTGACAAAGTCCTCAATTCTAGCGACAGGGGGTTATTGACAATTTTTTCGTGTAAAAAACGAAGTTGCTCTGTTTCGACTGATATTCAAAAAGTACATGCACTATGACTTTAGTAAATCGCCACTGAGTTTTTACATCATCCGACTACTAATTTTCATTAAACATTTCATTAAACAATGAAAAAACAAGTTACTCTGATTTGACTAATTTTAAAAATTACATTTATTAAGACTTTCATAAATCGCCACTCAATTTTTATACCCCTCCTGACTGTTTTCAT